GTGTGTTGGGGGTGTGGTATGTATGGGAGAGTGCGTGATGGAGAGGGGAGGAACACATCATGCCGAGACAAGCATGGTGGTGGGCGTTGCGTGCAGTGAAAGCTTGAACCATACCTCGTAGATCTTGGCGTCAAAGCCAAGGTACAGCTCCACGAAATGCGGCTTGTTGTGCATCATCGCAGCCATTAGATTGTCGTTGATGCATGCAGCAATCTCATTCTGTACACAGACAGCACATGTTTGGCGACCAGTTTGAACGTGAGTGATGGTGCGTTGGTGGAGGGAGGTGCGTGCGTACGTGTGTGCGTGCGTACGTGTGTGCGTGCGTACGTGTGTGCGTGCGTACGTTTGTGTGTGTGTGCGTGTGTGTGTCTGTGAACAGCGGTGTGTCCTGTCCGCGTGCGTGACGGTGAAGGACTACGCGAGGGTGTGTTTAAATGTAAACAGAAGCATTCGCAACTGTTCGTACGTGCTGGCCGTTCTTGGATGCCTCGCTGAGCGCCCTCTTGGCCACGTCCAGCTGGTCAAAGTACATCGCTGTGGAGCAGGAACCACTGGGTGAATAATGACACGGAATTGGGGGGGGGGGCGTGGCAGCGTGACATGGCACAGAGACCTCCAAGGAAGAGACAAGAAACACGATTCCCACAATGTGCAGCACCGTGCAAACACACACAAGCACACGTGATTACAAACGCGCGCACCCACACGGCACAAAGAGACACGCATGCGATGACACAGCGCATGGTGCACTCTCCGCAACGCGATTGGCCACGCTTGTACAGCCATACCTTGCTTCAGCTTGTTTCCCAGCTTTCCTTGGCTGGAGAAAATGGCCTTGAGGATGCAGTCGTCAAACTCGTCAATGCCGCTCTCCTGCAGGCTGTACACCACCACCTGGTCGTCCACCACATTCACGTGCATTGGCGCAAAGTACATGTGAGAATTCAAAAGAAGCGACATCCATGCGTGCGTGTGTGTGTGAGTGTGTGCACACGTGCGTTTGTGTACAACTTGAATGTCTACACATTGTATGTGTGTATATGTGTATGTGTGTGTGCGTGCAAACGTGGAAATGGTGAGCGAGTGCGGGGAGCATGGCTCACCAGGTTGGGATCCTGCACGCACTCGAGGGCGCTGTCGAGGAGGTTGGTGAGCTGCTGTGATGATTTTGGGTTGAACGTCTGCGCCACCTTCTGTCGCAGGTCGTCGATGGTGTACGACTTGAAGCGCGTCCTAATGCACGTTAGCACGCACATGCATGCGGTTGATTGTGCGATGACATTGTTTGGGCGACGCATCAGCAATGCAATCAAGGACATGCAAACGCGCTTGGGGGAAACAGCGGCGACACATACTCAACCACACACTCATCACAAATCAAACATAAACACACGCATTCATGTCCTGCAACTCAAGAACACCGTTCAACCACCTTCCCTCACGCATGCACGCACACACAAACGTACAGCGGGTTGTGCATGAAGTTGTATGCGTATGCAAGAACGTCGGCAGCAAGACCAGAGCCGTCAACAACGACAATCGGTGTGCCCTGTCGAACTGTGGATTGCGTGCAAGCGACATGGACGCGAGGAAAGGCGTGAAAACAAGGGCTTTGCATCACCCTTTGGACACACACACACACACACACACACACACACACACACACACACACACACACACACACACACACACACACACACACACACACACACACGCACACGCACATAATCGCACACACGCACACAATTGCGAACATACCGGCCTGGAGTGCAGTGCCGAGCGTGCCAGGCCCACCCTGCACAACGATGGTGACGACTGGTGCAGCAAATGCTTGGCCAGCAGCCTAACAGCGACGCAAAACATGAGCACAGTGCTGTTCGTGAACGGCGTGTTGAGCAATGTAACGAAACGTGTTCAACAAGGCAGACACAAACAAGTGTGACGTGCGCATGTGTGTGCATGTTGCTTGTACGTTTTCAAAGGCCGCTCGGAACTTGATCTCCTTGCCAAACTTGTTGGTTGATCCGTCATCCACGAGCAGAAACAGGTTGTGGTTGTCGTCCAGAGGCGTTGTCTTGGGCGGGTCTTTCTTGTGCATCTCATACTCCAGCCCAATCTTTGGCGGTTCACCCTGCAGAGAGCACAAGTGCGTGCGTGTATGGTGTGTTGTGTGTGTGTGCATGTTTGTGTGAGTGAGTGTGTGTGTTGCGTTGAAGGAACGCGAGACGAGTTGCCAATACGAGTTGGTCCAACCAGTCAGCGCAATCCGCACGTCAACCGCAGTGTGTTCGGCTTACCCGAGTCATGTCATCACCACCGATGATGACGCCATACGTAGCTGCAGGAGAGCGCCAACGAGGACCAAGCGGCTTCGTGTCAATAAGGCAAACGCACGCGCGTGTGTGTCTTCACACACAGATCACAGACATACATACAGACAGACAGATAGACAGATCCACACAGCACAACACACACACACGTACGCACATACACAGGG